CAGAAACATCAAACGAATGCTATGCGAAACGTTGGTTTTGTCCCAGTTTTCGTATGGTGCTCCTGTCTATTATCCATGCTTGGATGCTGATACGATATCTAGAATTCAGCGTGTTCAAAATTCACGTATGAGGTACGTTTTCGGTATAAGGAAATATGACAGAGTTAGTCATAAGCTGAAGGATTTACAGTGGTTGAACATGAAACAGCGTTCAGAACTATTGACACTATGTTTCTACAATAATATTTTGTCGAGCAAGTCACCGTCATATTTGTATGAAAAATTCATGTTTAGAGAAAGTCTTCATTCTGTCAATGTTCGTTCGAAACAGAATCTTTATGCTCCATTCCATCGAACATGCTTTTTCGAACGTGGCTTCTCTTACAACATCTATAAATTATACAACTCCATCCCCCAGCAAATCAAAAATATGAAAGGTTGCAAATTCAAGGCAGCTCTGAGACGATTCCTTTTAGATAAGTATAATTAATTTCACTGATAATACTGTAACATTTAGCTTTTTTGGATGAATCTCATGATTATATGATGGAATTTTCAGTTTTATATTTTCAGTGTTATTTGTTTTTTATACTCATACCTTTTTTTTCTGCTCTCCTATAGTTAGTAGTAGTCATGTAACCGTTGTTATCACTATTTTAAAATAGAGCAAGGAATGAGTGGAAGAGCACGCAGGTCGTGAACTCCCCCTTGAGATTCGAGAGCAATTATTCCTTTTTGTTGAACACCATTTTTCTATGCATTGTCTCTTCGAATAAAGCCATTTATTATTATTATTATTATTATATACTTCTCAACAATAGTGTACGTTGTATCTATTTCTAGACTTGATATCTGCAGGTTTGTTCCAAATAGTTCCGAATTATTTATCTACACGTAGGTACAGCTCAGAACTGCTTCCGAACTATTCTGTTGGAGCAGAGAATTTCAAGGCTTGTTGCAGTAAACATAGCTTTAGTTGAACTAAAATTTAAAATCATAGCAAATCTTGAATCTAGTTAGAAATCATTAGAATTATCAACACTTGACTGTGTAATTTTCTTCTTCTCGTCGACGTCAGTTGTAAAAGTGCATCCGTCATCAAATTCGAACCTTTAGTTCGCAATCAGTCCGGAATTAGTTTAAACACAGAACTGCCAGGTACGCAATCAGTTCTGTTTTTCTGTTGAAACGAAAGTTTCGACCGACTTGTGCTCTGTTCATTTCAGAACTAGTTTCATTGTATGTTGAAACAAAGCTAGCATGTTTGCTGTCCAGTATGTTTTGACCGTCTGCCAGTGCAGCGTCATGGAGTTTGTTATACCAGCTAAAAGGCTTAGGCACTTCCACTATATAAGAGATGGACACCTTCATCGCAATATGTACGACGAATTTTCGATAATTTGATTCACTTTAGAAATAAAGCTGCATTTATACTCTTTAGTGTAAGCCGTTGATCCGGGCCATAAAATCACGACAGCGTATAAACTCACATTACGTTCGACCGTTTGAGCATTTTTTGCAACAATTTACATGGCTCATCATCCCTTGTTTGGAGTTTATGCTAGACCGTTTCTCTTTTACAAGCGGATTTTTTCGCGTCATTGATTCGCTGTTTTTTTTAGACTGTTTCGGCCACCATTCCATTTTAAATGCTGAATAATTTACAAGCGGAAAGATAAAACTCTCGATATAGTTGCTTGAAGTTTCAAAAGCAACATTTAACGAGTCAATAAACAGAAAGAGACGTGTATTTCTCATATCAAAAATAAACTTATGTCCGGTCTCATAGTTTCAGCTTCCGAATACAAATAACATAAAGAGAAATCCGAATACACTGACGAGGTCATGTGTACGAGAGAGAAGCCCGAGAAGCGTGCAATACGTATGTTAGAAAGAGTACGCCGATGGCAAGCCGTAGCTGCATCCGAGGTATCGTCACTCGAGTTGCCAGGCAACGTGGTGCTTCTTTCTCGTTCTGACATACGTATTCCGCGCTTCTCGTGACTTTGGAGCATCACATACTGACAATCTAATTAGATATTTAAATGAAAACAGGCAAGCTTTTTTCCTTATTGCTTATCCTGTGATTCGGTAGTGGCGCTGATCTACCAGTCTGTACCTGTTGTAGGACAAAAGCTTTATTTCTGGTTCCATGTCGTTGTTGGTAAACATTATTTTAAAAAATCGTGAAAAATGAGGACGTCTTCGATAAATTAGATCTTGATAGAAATACCGAAAAATAGGTAGGCTTGGCAACACTGGTGAATGCCTGTCAGTTGTACTTCATGTTTGATACCGAGCATGAGCGGTCCTAGCCTCTCTCCCGCCAAAGGCGTTCAGTCGAAGGCAATTTCACGAATTCAAGGATCACCCTGGCATGCCACGTTCCGAGCAAACGTAGCTAATTGGAGTCAATAATAGTCATCTTTCGGGTTAGTAGTGGAGAAAATTATATTTATCAAGACCTTGACAATCAAGCAGACTGTTATGCTGGGCGCTGAGCCCAAATTGCGGAAGGACACGCCTATCGAAAACCTTTTTTTATCATTCTAAGTTAAAATGTACAGGAAAATCTATGATGCACGAAATGTGGCTAGCAGGTGCGTAGAATTGCCGGAGTTGGGAGCGTATATGTACTAAGTGTGTCGTTTTTTTTTTCCTCTCCATCTTCGTTTCCTCAGGTTACACCCGTATCCGGATGTGTGGGCATGTGTATCTACTTTTGTAGTTTCGTATGTGCATTCATTTCGGGCCTGCTGAAGGCAACCAGCAGAAATACGTATCGCTCGGGTTACCTATCCTATTTTCTGCTCGAATCGACTTTCCTCTTTTTTGCGGATTTTGCCCATTATTTTTTCTACTTTTTGTTATATATATATATATATATATATATATATATACAGGGTGACTTTGAAGTTGAGTCATTAATTTTCAGATAATGATTGTAGAAGGAAGATAAACCAGAATATGTGTGTAAAAATAAAAAAAAATTAAAAAAAAATTTTTACCTTGTTTTATAAAGTATCCTCCCGACAAGTATTTCAGTGCGGACCTGTATTTGATCGTGAGGTCCCCTGTGAGGTCTTCAAGTCACCTGATTCAGGAGCCCGTTGTACTACATTAACAAAGGCACGAGGGGTTGGTTGCACTCGATTGGGAAACCGATCCGCATAAACATGTGCCATTTTTTATTTCGTTTGAGCCACGCAACAGACACTATTCACACGCTAACCGACTGTATGTATAACTGAACTGAATAAAATACTTAATTGCAAAAACGTCGTTCCAAATTCTTTCGCTTTTTTGTTTCCGATGCGATGAACCGGTAAGGCGGATTATATCCGTTGTTGCCAAACACGAGTACATGATATTATTATTGAGACAGGGCGGTACTCAAACTTCCAAAGGGCTATAACTTTGTTACTTTTATTTTACCAGAAAAATGGTAAAGGAAAAAAACATTTCTTTTGATCAGATCTACTCACTGTTAAAATAAATGACTCAACTTCGAAGTCACCCTGTATATATATATATATATATCAGGGAAAGTGTCACTACGGCCATAAGACGCGTTAAAATTTAGAAATACGATGAATTGCCTAAATAGGATTTAATGCATTTAGTTTTTGTCTTTTGTACATGATATCATCACAACATATGTTCAAAATGTCTTCCTCCAACCTGAATACACCGATTTAAACGTCGCACATGATTTCTGCGGACTTGACTAAAAATTTGATACTCGTTTTGAATGATTGCAAATGCTACTGTAATTCGTGCAATTAAGTCTTGCTCTGTTTCTACTGGAGTTTCGTAAACCAAAGACTTCACATGTCCCTACAGCAAATCTAGCGACGTTAAATCGGGTGACCTAGGAGGCCAAAAAACTGCTCCACCGCTGGCAATCCAACGGTGCCCAAGCCGCTGAGCCAAATACTCAGATACTTGTACACTGAAACCACATTTGCTGTCGAACGTTCAATCTAACATTTTCAAGAAGTTCTGGAAGGACTTCCTCAAACAAACCCCGGTAAATAGGTCCTGTTAACCGTTCCGGTAGAAGGTATGGCCTAATCAAATAGTCATCAACAATGCTTGCCCATACGTTGGCAGACCAACGTTGCTAATCTTTTCTAGGAAAAATTGCATCGGGATTTTCTTTGTCCAAAACGTGGCTATTCCTACTATTAAAAATACCGTCCTTGTGAAAGAGGCTTCGTCGGTCCATAAAACATAGCGTAAAAAATTTGGTTGTGCAGCGATTTGATGAAGAAGCCATTGACAAAATTGAACTCTAGGATGATAATCGGCTGCAGTCAATCCTTGAACTCTCTGGAAGTGGTAAGGATAAAGTTGTTGCTCGTGTAGCACCCGCGAGACGGAAGCGTTACTCGTATTAATATCCTCAGCAATGTGACCTGTGCTACTTGATGGTTCGCCGGCAACTCTTCTTCAAATTCCACCGTTCTTACGGTTCGAGCAACGCCAGTATCATGCATGTTTGTTTTAAACATGCCTGTCTCGGAGAGCCGCCGATGAATAGCAATAAACTTTTTGTATCCCGAATGCGGTCGTTCGGGATAACGTTCCTGATACAACCGCGCTGCTGCTCGTGCACTGCAGCTTGATGCTCCGTATGCCAAATGCATATCCGAATATTCTTGATTGGTAAAGTTTTCCAATAGCAGCAATTAATTTTTGTTAAATTCTTGCAAACTTCACAAATACGATAACACGACTAAGGCGATATGGAATGCAGCTACAAAAAACAATCTCTGCTGTCGTTTTTAAAGATAACAACACACAAGCGCCGGATATGGGGCCCTATACTCAAGTATTTTCTACTGTTACACTGAATAACCCCTACAAGTTTGATCCCATAGTTCTGAAGAAACACCCTGTATATATATATATACGTTTGTGCTGCGCATTCATCATTTTTTATAATCAAAATTTATAACTAACGGGATTTAAGTTTATGAGCTTCTGTTTATTTGCAGGCCTCATGAAAGGACCCTAGATGAGCAAGAGACAATCTACGAAGAACTTCTTCACATACGAGCTGTAGCGCATTTGTCAAATACTGTGAAGAGAGAACTCGCTAGCATTATAGTTTTTGAAGCACATCCCAAATCTGGATCTGTCTGTGAGTAAAAATTCTATATACAGGAAGTCTCAAAGGTTATAGGTCAAACAAAAGAGTGTGATAGAATGCTCATTTCCAATCAGACAAACCAAATATTTGGTTTGGAGCTGTCGCCATTTTTAAGAATTTGTAAAAGTTATCTACTTTTGAGACTGCACTATTTGAACTTATATTTTTTGTTAATTCATAATCAGCTTTACAGGATATATTCCAAAATGATGGTATCGATGAAGGAAAGGCATCAGTAAAAAATTAGATCAGTTAATGTATTTACAGCAATCAGCTAAACCGCAATTTTGTCTGCAGCATATTCAATAAGGTCCGTACAAAAATTAGTGAGCAGATAAACTGTCCATAAATATGAAAGACAGTCAGATATTATTACTTCTCAAAAGACCTTTTACTTCATCAAATATCCTAAATAGCTCTTGGGCAAGATAGACAAAATGCTGCAGGTAACCTAAATCTCAAAATATCCTATTTTGTAAACTAAATCCTAAAACTGCGATTGTCAACCTTCTACATTCCAAACAGGATCAGGAAAATCAAGAGATCATGTCTTTAAACTAAGATGGATTCTAGATCTAAGCAATCCAAAACAATGGCGGCTTGACATTATTTTGGGTAATAAAGGTATTACAGTGTCGTATTATCTGGTCTTATAACCATAGTTATCAACTTTTTATACTCCAAGTAGGAGAAAGAGACAATAATTTGTTGAATAATTATAATAATTTAATCCTATCGTCTAGAATAGGTGCGATGCAAAAAATTCTGACGTGTATTGTGTGATCTAGCTAGCTTGCTAACAGTTCTGGTACATTGTATTGGAGAAGAATTAATGAAGTTTCTCCAATTTTTCTGTTGATTAAAATTGGTCAATAAATTTACTATTTATGAGTCTAGCCCAGGGGGCGCGCCTCCCAAGAGAGGCATAGGATGATGTCAAGGGGGGCGGAAAGCGTTTCCATTTTAGAAAGAAAAAACAAAAAAAATAAACAAATAACATTACAATGTAATGCTTAATTTACACGCATAAAATTAAAAATTAAATATCATATTCACTTATTTTGTCAACCGCTGTTTAAGAACCCGGCGTCGTTAATCACAGTTTATAAAAGTTTCGACAAGTCACAACATGAAATTCGCGCGCACCCCCGCCGCACCGCTTAACATTCATCACTTAGAAAACAATTGTGTACCTACCAGACGCGGATGAGCATCTGTGACATCCATTCCCACAAACTTGCGAAAAATTTGACGTTTCGATGTTCATGTTTTGTTAAGAAATCTGTTTGAGTGTGTCAAGTTATTGTGTCTCAGTGTTAAAAGGTAAGTTTGTGTATTTACAAACTTTAGTTACCATTTTTATTTAATTTACTAAATTGTTGATTGAGTGGAGACGCGTTCATGGATCAGCCATTGGGACTTTTTTACCACATCACAGTCAAACCTAGGCGGCGAAATAATTTAGAAACGACGAACTTTAAATACCTAACATTGATTCCAAATGTATTTAAAATTACTATTATAACGTAAACGTAACTAGAAATATACAAATCTCCCGGTGGCCAATATACTGTTGAATTCATTACGTTATTAAGATAAAATAATGGGCATATACTTAGTAATTACATGTAGGTATTTTGATTATTCATTTATTACTTATTTGTTTTATTTTTATAAATGCAAAATGGCAGCGAAAAAAAAAAGTTTTCCGGAGATTAGGTTAAGTTTGGATTTACCTTCATAGAAAAAGACGAGTTACAATTGCCTCAGTGTGTGAGATGTATGAAAGTTTCAAGTCATGATAGCATGAGGCCCAATCGCCTTGAAAGGCATTTGAAGCAGCATCCTACTCTGGTCTTGAAGACGAACGAGTTTCTTCTTCTTCTAAAGCAGAATCACTCAAGCGGATAAGACTGGATAAATCGGGAAGTTATCACATAGGTGTATCGCAGAATCTCAAAGCTTCATTTGAAATATCTTTTATGATAGCAAAGCAAAATAAACCTCATACTATCGGTAAAGAATTAATAAAACCATGTGTCCTAAAAGCCACGCAGATAATTTTAGGAGAAGATGCAGAGCAATAAATGAAGTCTATTTCTCTTTCGAATAACACAGTCAAGCGTATAATCGATGACATTGCAGCAGGCATAGAGTCACAAATAATTAACAAAGTAAAATTATCGCCATTTTTTGCCATTAGTTGCGATGAATCCACCGACTTCGTTAATTGTGCACACTTAATAGTTTATGTCCGTTACATCAGAGGAGATATCATACAAGAAGAGATTTTGTACTCCCAATCTTTGACAGCAGGTACTACATCTGAAGATATGTTCAATTCAATATCAAATGTTGTTGAAAAAAATTATTTGGATTGGAAGAAGTACACATTTTTCTCCAAAATATTGCCACAGAAATTACGCCAGACTTTATACTCGGCTATAAGGATTGTAAACTACATCAACAGCAGCGCTTTGAACAGTCGGTTATTTACTTTACTTTCCGAGGATCTCAATTCTGATCACAAAGTTCTTCTGTTCCATACAGAAGTACGCTGGCTGTCCAAAGACAACATGTTGGCTCGCCTTTATGAATTGAAAGAAGAGGCAATTCTTTTTCTTGAATTAAAAAAAAACACGATTTCTTGACAATCTTCAAAGATGACACATTTCAGTGGACATATTTGACTCCTTGAATGAGCTAAACTTGAAACTCCAGGGCAGAAACAACACTATAATAAGCAATTATGATTATATTCATAGGTTCATATCAAAGCTCAAACTTTGGAATCAAAAAGTGTCTTCTAAAAATGTTATATTTTTTCTCGGCTGTTCGAAGCAAATAAAAATAACATGCTGGACGCAAATTTAAACTCATTTGCAAACCCTGGAAGACGAATTTCGCCGATACTATTCAGACATCAATTCATTGTCACCAATATGGCACATGACAAAAAACCATTTGTTGTCGATGTGTCACAATTACCAGAAGAAGTTCAGGAAGAATTTCTAGAAATGAAGGCTGATTCGTCCATGAAACATGATTTCGATCTTTTAACATTGGAGAAATTTTGGATCAAAAGATTGCCTGTTAATTCGACACTTGCCTCTCTTGCTTTACGAATACTAGTTCCTTTTTCGTCAACGTACTTATATGACACAAGCTTTTCTGCTCTAGTTTTAATCAAAACTGAACAGCAAAATCGTCTTGATGTTGATAGCGACCTGATGATAGCTCTGGCGAAAACAGAACCTAGAATCAACCAACTGGTACAGAACATACAATCTCAAGTGTCTAATTAGTACCTACTTTTGTTTTATTCAAGTTTTTCTATAAAAAAACATTTACTAGTTTATTTATTCTTTTAAAGTTTCTTTATTAGAATTAAAATAATAGTAGCTATACAATGTGCGTTTTTTTGTATTTATTGAAAATGTAAAGGGGAGCATGAAAATATAATTTATAGTCTGAGGAGCCTCAACAAAAAAAGTTTGGTCTAGCCCATAATTTGTCCCTAAATCGGAGTTGAGAGCGGTCCAGCCTCATGATTTGTAAATCTACAGCCCAGTGGTGGATATTATGAATATTACAGATGCCTGCTCTCAAAGACGTTCAATCCATAACTTTTTTTGGAAACATTTCTGAATTCTTGGCGCATCCTTCTGTAAATTGGACTCTCTCTTCTTCTGAAAGAAGTGCCCGCGCATGATGGATAAGAAAGGGTGCAGCAGCTCTCTATGTAAAATTCTGTGTATTGTCGACCTAGCTACATCAACATTCGGTAAAATACGGAGCACGCTACTAGAAAGGTCATCTTCAAATCACAGCAGTCTACGTCGATAACCTGCCCTCCTATTCCTTCTTATCCTATGCATTTCTCTGTACTCGAAAATTTAATCTGCTGAGATATTTAAGCAGAAAATCGAACAGCTCCAACGCACAATCCACAAACTAAGAGAACGCATTCGCGTATCAGTCGAATATGACATCTTGCATCGAAATCCCAATAACAGAATTAAACAAGTGGGATAAGTACGCTATAATCTCTGCAAGCGTTTTATAGTACGGACATTAGTTAATTATTCTATACATGTTTACTATCCTATTTGCGTAACAAAAGGCCGTTATCGAGAAAGGTAATACAGCATAGATTCCATAACCATTTTATCGCCCAAAATGATGTCAAGGCGGTCACCCCTTACTTTGATTAGATTTGGCATTGATTTGAATTTGAGGAGTTGTTGTCCCTCAATCGTTTAATGACTCTATCCGGAATGTAGAATATTGATGATGGCCCTTATAGGATAAGTTCATAAAATGGGAACTTTCAAGAGTAAGGGTATCTGCAGCATTTTGCCTGTCTTACGCAGAAACTGCTTAGGATATTTGATTATCTGTAGGAATTTTGAAGACCAGGTTTTCCTAACTATGTATAATTCATCTGATCACTAATTTGTTCTATAAGCCTACGTGAATATGCCACAATATTTTTAATGATAGATAAAATTACGGTTCATCCGATTGCTATACCTACATTAGTTGGACTAATTTTTCACTGATAGCTATTCTTCAACCACACATCATTTGGGAACATATTCTAAGAAGATTAATGAGAAATAACGAAAGATACACAAACTTCATATAAAAATAATACTGTCTCAAAAGTAACAATTTTCTACTAATTCTTAATAATGGTGATACCTCCTAAACCCTGTGGATATAAATGAGAGACATGAAATTTTGTACACCTACTAATTGAACCCTGATGAAGGTTATAAACATGGTATTATCAGCGAAGATATACAGGGTGCTCAAAAAGCATAGATTGACCAAAATATCTCGAAAAATACCTGGAGAAGATTGTTGTAGAACACAGTTTTTTTCCATACTAAAGCAGCCGCACAGGCAGAAGCCTAAATGCCGGGACACCGCTGCTGCTATGATGATCCCAAAGGAAGTTTGTTAATCGGATTTTTGAACTGCCCAACGTTAGTGCATCTGGGAAAATCTTCCTCTTGTAGTTTGTTCCACAATCACGACACCCTCGAGACAAAGAAGCGGTCGTATCGGCCAGTTCTGGATGCACGATGTTCTACACGGTTAGGATGGGAGGCCCAAGTCAGGCGGATCTGTCTGGCAGGCACATCGCGCGGCGACATCATGGAGGAGAGCTCTGAGGAACAAAGCCCGTTTTTGTAGCGGTAGAAGAGAGCTAGATCGCCGACGGCCCGCCGGTGCTAAAGGGTCCCGAGACGGTTTGTTAGAGAAGAGTCATCGATCAGTCGAACAGCTCTCCTCTGGACAGCATCGAGCATAAATAATGTAGTCGGGGCGGCAACACCCCAAACGTGTGAGCAATACTCGAGGCTAGGCCTTATCTGGGCCTTGTATAGAGTGAGAAGGTCATGCGGAGGAACGTACTTTTTAGCCCTAAACAAATAGCCTAGCTTTTTCCGAGCAGCTGCCGCTATTGACGAGATGTGTTCGTGCCAGATCAAGTCCTTCGGTGATCTGGACTCCGACCAGCCGAAATGAATGGCTCTTTGGTAGAACTCGTCCATCCATCGAAACCGGATGAGCGCTAGGCCGCTTTTTGTTCGTCAAGGTACAGTACTGTGTTTTGGAAGCATTAAACTGTGCAAAATTGTTGCGTCCCCAAGACAAGTTGTAACGTTTGAAAAAAATCATCTAATGGGTATCTTGAACGTGACCTTGACTATGACCTTCAATATCATCTGAAGGTCAAGGCTTTTTTAAAAAATATTTTTGATATCGGGAATAAAAAGAAGAAGAAACTGGTCCCAAGTATTTCCGTGACCTTGATTATGACCATAGAGGTCATTTGAAGATCAAATGAATGTTTAAGGGAGAACATATTTCAAGTTTCAGTATATAATTGCTAATAACCTTCAACGTGATGTTAAGAAGCAAGTTAATTTTCAAGTAAGCTTCCTACTTATTATCAAGGATATAAGATATAAAAAATCGAAACATTGCAATTAAGATATTGTTGTATTAAAATGTTGGATAAAAAATATTCATTGTTAAAGTAACGATTGTGTTACTTTGAATATTGCTTTTGTTTCTCCAAAACCAATCTCCTTCACCAAAATGCAAAACGAACACTACTACTACGCGGGCGGAGCTGCGGGTTTAGTCTAGTCATAAAACAAACTTTATTCTGGCACCCTGTAGTACAATTCTAACAAACATAAAGAGTACTACTATCTAGAACTGTCGAATAAAGTAATCCAAACAAATTAAAGATATGGTATACTAAGTATCGAAGTCCTCGCCTAATCTTGCTGCTGATAATCCATGAAAATCACAACACAGTCGTATAGCGACTTTGTATATACTTCTATAAATTCTTTAATTGCTTCTAGTGTTTCATCAAGGAGATGAAGGCAGGTCATGGTACATCATCCTAAGAGGTTCTGTCGATGTTGTGATTCACGGTAAAGGTACCGTGAATACTCTCCATGAAGGTGACGACTTTGGAAAGCTAGCACTCATCAATGATGCGCCGAGGTAACTAAATTTTTAAACCATTCATTGTCATTGTGTGTGTTTAAATTTCATCCTCCACTATTGGTGCCTCGGACTTTTTTCGTCTTTCACCAAAACTACTCTTAATTTTCAATTTTTCCTCCGTATTTTTTATTTCCCGGGATCCCATTTATGAGGGTGGAATTTGAAACACCCGGAATAATTGAGAGTACAAATTGTACTTAATGCTATTATGGCCCCTGCTCTGTGTTCTGGCAATGTTTCGATCATCCCAAATTTGGCTACTGAAACAAAAAATGACTACACGTCCTCTGGGTGGCTAAAAAATGTTTGCACCTATGAACAATACTTATCCGGTCATCGTGCTTCGTACTGTGGAATTAAACAGTAAAAATAGGGGACGTGCACCAACCAAAAAGAGTCAAAAGTAAATTAGTATGTTACCAAAAATAATTGAAATTGCAGACCTCATTTGTTCAGTATATGAATATAGTAGTAGATTTCTGTAGCCTCAGTTGTCTAATCATATTACAACAACAAAATTGGAGTCGATTGCTCAACTAGTTTTTACGAATTTCTAATTGCTTATCCCAAAACACCTATCTTCGGCCCATCACTACTAGTTTACTGAGCAATATACAGGGTTCGTTCGGAGGACATTTTATAGGGAAATACACGAGTTTTCCTTGCCGACACGAATCACAAACCATTCCGAAAGATAGTTGTTGTTTTTATGCGAAAATTGAAAGGGATAAACAATTAGAAATTCTCAAAAACTACTTGACCAATCGACTCCAATTTCGTCGAAAGATCTGCGTGAAACTATCGTCGCATTATCAACAAGTTCAAAAATCTGCATCCTGCCTCGGTTGTCGGCCATAACTATTTTACTATTAGTCGGATCTTTTTACATGCAGTCTCATTGTGTGGGTGTCATAAATACCTAAAAATCTTATTTAAATAGTTTTTTTGTTCCTGTCAACACTTTCCATTGAATCCCAAAAAACACGTTTCTTCATTTTTTGTGGTGGAATAAAAAGTTTTCCCACAAAAATTGGTGTGCCTATTTTATGCTTCCATGATTTATATACCCCCTTGAACAACTTGCATCAATAAAATCAGACTTTACAATTATTTCGCAAACTAGGGGTATTTTCGTGTAATTTGATTAGACTACAGCACTAAAATATCATCAAACTCCTAAGTCGCAGATTTGAATCATTTTCGCCATAAAAATAATTAAAATTCTCTTGGTTGGTGCTCGTCACCCTTAATGTATCATCTTATTATGGTAAAAGTTGTTTTCTCAGCCATGTATAAAAAAGCATCTCAGCAAAGTGAAATCATCTAATTGCTGTTACTCTCAGCAGCCCACTATTCCGTTGCGATCGATTTGCTAACAACAGGGCCATGATATAAACAGAATATCTAGTTAGTTATACGTATATGTCAAAGCTCCTCTATCTTCAGGTGGCATAATGGACAATCAATACTCTGCATTAGTATTATAATGGCCAGTATCTCTCTGATTACATGCTCTACCAGTTAATGACTATATAGAGCAATGATACACCGGTTCTTCCTGGTTTAATGGTTTCAGCTATCCAATAATAATAATAAAGGCGTCTTTATTTGATACAATTACATGGTAACAATGATTTAGAAATAACCTAATTGGCGAAGTTTAGCTTGCCTACTTATACACATTTATTTCCAGAAACATGGAAACGTGCACAATCAACCGATCTTAATTTACCAGGCACCTTTTTGCTTGAAGGAATGTTCCATTTGAATGAGCATTTTTCACAGAACGGCAAATAGATCAGACTAACTAGCCAAAAGAAATTTCTTTTACAGAAAATGGCGTCTAGTAGGTTGACTCTGCACTTTTCACGCAACGCCGTTATCAGTTCATACATGTTCAGCACAAACTGAACCCTCTGAGAAAAAAGTCAGTCAAACAGGCTAGTACAATTGATATTAATAATGATAATAATAATAATATTAACGCATCCTCCAATAAAGAAAATATCCATCGATCTTCCTTCCCACATTATAATGCACGAGTTGATTCCATAAAACAAAAGTTCACCTTTCCGATATCTGAAAATTCTCGTCAAATTTTTAGAGCGCGCTCGCTGCTCTTGACTGCATAATGGATGTGCAGCAGTACATCGATGCTGGTTCTGAAATTCTATACGCGATGCATAGAGTGCAACCAAAGAGACTACCACTCTCATAAAACCTCCGCTAGAAGGAAAAGCAGAGTGCTGAGCATGGTAAAAGTGCTGGGGAAATATTTGTATCCAGAAAATTAAATTTTTTGGTACTGTGTGTCAACAATGTTAGCGGTAAATTAATCAAGCAAAATAGAGATGATGCCAAATATTACTTATGGAAAATTTGTAAATAAAATGTTAAAAATGCATTAAAAAAATTTTCGTCGATGTTATATTACATCTTGAGCTGTTCATGTCATACCTCTATAATAGACTACAAATGCTTGAAATTGTTAAGGGAGGTCGAACTCACAAGTCAAACATTGAGTCGACTTCATCCGGTATAGCACAGGGAAGTAACTATACTTGGGCCCTTTTGTTTGTCGTTTTTTTGAATTTTTTGTTACTGGTGGTGTTAAAAACAACCATAAAATTATATGCTATGCTGATGACACAAATTTAGTGTTGGATGGGACAAGTGTAGAGGAGCTAACTGCTAATGAGATGTTGAATCAATTGTTTCAGATCTCTAGCCTCTCAAACGTCAAAAAATGAAGTTCGAGCGATATTTTTTTTGTTTTGTGCCTGTAGCTTCGTCGCCACTGGATCTATTTTGAACTGCAAAGCTTATTTGTTGTTGGCATAGTCGTAACGTTGTCCCAAAATATCATCAACATCCTATCGGTACTCTTCAAGTTATTTTATTTATTTTATTTTATTTTATTTTTATTTTATTCATTACAACACCCTACAGTAAATACCAATTACAGGGTGAGGAAACACAGAACATAACACAGATATAAAAGACAATAATAAGTAATAAGTAATAGACTACAGAGTGTAAAAGATACATGCTGGTTACTTAATAGTATTTTTTATGTCTGCAATTCTGCAGTTAAATATATCAATCCTGTTACTTGCAGAATTGTAATTCCCACACATCACATGTAAAGGGGAATAGTGTAAATAATTTGTCCGTGCCGCAGGTAGATAAAACGTAACGTTTTGTCGGGATGTCAGCCTAGGTACGTTAAATGATAGCTGACCCAAGAAAGCTAAATCATCACTAGCATTATTGATCAATTTAAATAGAAAGATCACTGACTGGCAAGTGCGCCTTGCTTCAAGACTGCTGATTAGATGTTTTTCAAGTAAGGAATCATGAGGTATACCTATGGGCGGGTAAACGCCATCCACTTTCAGTGACAAATATTTTAAGAAACGTCTTTGAACACATTCAAGCCTACTTATATGAATAATATGACGCGGATTCCAAATTAACAATGCATACTCAAGCTTCGACCTAACATATGCATAATACAGCAACTTCAAGGTGGTACTCTGAGTGAAGTCACGACAGTTTCTTACAATAAAGCCGTCCATGCGGTTTGCCTCGGAAATTTTGCTGTCAGTGTGTTTGACGAATGTTAGTTGGGAGTCAATTGTCACGCCTAAGTCACATAAAGTTGAAGTCCTCTGAATAGAGCTACCTGACAGGGTATAGTCAAATAACAGAGGATTTTTCTGATTGTTTTGTGAGCACCAAGCATCCAACCTGACCAGATTTTCTAAAAGTTGATCACAGTCTGATTCATCAACTACACGACAAAACATCTTCAGATCATCAGCGTAAATTAGACAATTCTCACCGACAGCATTAACTATGTCAGTCACAAATATGACGAACAATAAAGGCCCTAGGTTACTGCCTTGTGGCACTCCGGAATTGGCTACATACTTCGACGATCTGATGCCATTAAACATCACAAATTGATTTCTTCCAGTGAGGTAGGACTTAAATAGTTGTATTAAAGGATCGGATAATCCATGAGATTTCAGCTTATGCAATAGCATCCTGTGATCAACTCTGTCGAAAGCCTTGGAGAAGTCTGTGTAGACCACATCTGTTTGTAATCCTCTGTCAATGTTTTCTGCTATGGTCTGTGTGAAGTTCATCAGATTTGATACTGTTGAGCGCCCTTTCATGAAACCATATTGTTGAACACATATTTTTCTGATGACATGATGATATAGTCTCTTATATATTAATACCTCTAGAGCTTTTGAAAAATTGCACAATATTGATATAGGTCTAAAATTTGATACATCATTCCTACTGCCGTTTTTGTGTATTGGACATACTTTAGACAACTTCCATAATTCTGGAATTGTGCAGGTGGTAAGGCACAAGTTGAATAAAACGGTCAAAGGACACGCCAACACAGAGGCACAGTCACGCAAACTAAAGGTTGGTACATTATCCGGTCCGGTAGTCATCTTAGGTTTTATTTGCTTCAAGGCTAAGACAACTTCATCCTCCTCAAATCTAGTAATATTGAGTGGTTGTTCATTGCTCATTAAAAAGTCATCAGTTTCTTCGGTGGCTGATGAAGACGAGTAGTATTTGGAGAAGTTATCCGCAAAAGCATTTAATATGTCGTTCGGTTCCAAAAGTTCATTACCATTGTAAATCATCCTACTTGATAAGTTTGTTGATTTTCGCTTAGAATTTAAGAAGCCCCAAAATTTATTCGAATCTCTTTGTATTTCGTTCTCAGCTTGTCTGACATATATTTTGTATGCTTCATCTGAATCTATATTAATGTTTGATCTAAGTTCCCTGAATGTCTGATACGTTTTAGGATCATTGTTGCGTCTGTAAGATCGGTGAATCTTCTCCTTGCTCGGACATATTTTGGAACACAGGTATCAAAAGCATTGTACAGTTTATTATAAAAGAACTCACACGCTTCATTCGCGTCATGAAAGCCATCTAAAGCAGCCCAATTCATGTCTGAAATT